AAAGTAGAGACACTACATACTGATATACACCTGAACATCAGCAGGAGAGGACTCTTTAAAGTAGAGACACTACATACTGATATACACCTGAACATCAGCAGGAGAGGACTCTTTAAAGTAGAGACACTACATACTGATATACACCTGAACATCAGCAGGAGAGGACTCTTTAAAGTAGAGACACTACATACTGATATACACCTGAACATCAGCAGGAGAGGACTCTTTAAAGTAGAGACACTACATACTGATACACACCTGAACATCAGCAGGAGAGGACTCTTTAAAGTAGAGACATTACATACTGATATACACCTGAACATCAGCAGGAGAGGACTCTTTAAAGTAGAGACACTACATACTGATATATACCTGAACATCAGCAGGAGAAGACTCTTTAAAGTAGAGACACTACATACTGATATACACCTGAACATCAGCAGGAGAGGACTCTTTAAAGTAGAGACACTACATACTGATATACACCTGAACATCAGCAGGAGAGGACTCTTTAAAGTAGAGACACTACATACTGATATACACCTGAACATCAGCAGGAGAGGACTCTTTAAAGTAGAGACACTATATACTGATATACACCTGAACATCAGCAGGAGAGGACTCTTTAAAGTAGAGACACTACATACTGATATACACCTGAACATCAGCAGGAGAGGACTTTTTTAAAGTAGAGACACTACATACTGATATACACCTGAACATCAGCAGGAGAGGACTCTTTAAAGTAGAGACACTACATACTGATATACACCTGAACATCAGCAGGAGAGGACTCTTTAAAGTAGAGACACTACCTACTGATATATACCTGAACATCAGCAGGAGAGGACTCTTTAAAGTAGAGATACTACATAGTGATATACACCTGAACATCAGCAGGAGAGGACTCTTTAAAGTAGAGACACTACATACTGATATACACCTGAACATCAGCAGGAGAGGACTCTTTAAAGTAGAGATACTACATAGTGATATACACCTGAACATCAGCAGGAGAGGGACTCTTTAAAGTAGAGAACTACATACTGATATACCACCTGAACATCAGCAGGAGAGGACTCTTTAAAGTAGAGACACTACATACTGATATACACCTGAACCTCAGCAGGAGAGGACTCTTTAAAGTAGAGACACTACATACTGATATACACCTGAACATCAGCAGGAGAGGACTCTTTAAAGTAGAGACACTACATACTGATATACACCTGAACATCAGCAGGAGAGGACTCTTTAAAGTAGAGACACTACATACTGATATACACCTGAACATCAGCAGGAGAGGACTCTTATAGTAGAGACACTACATACTGATATACACCTGAACATCAGCAGGAGAGGACTCTTTAAAGTAGAGACACTACATACTGATATACACCTGAACATCAGCAGGAGAGGACTCTTTAAAGTAGAGACACTACATACTGATATACACCTGACACATCAGCAGGAGAGGACTCTTTAAGTAGAGACACTACATACTGATATACACCTGAACATCAGCAGGAGAGGACTCTTTAAAGTAGAGACACTACATACTGATATAACACCTGAACATCAGCAGGAGAGGACTCTTTAAAGTAGAGACACTACATACTGATACACACCTGAACATCAGCAGGAGAGGACTCTTTAAAGTAGAGACACTACATACTGATATACACCTGAACATCAGCAGGAGAGGACTCTTTAAAGTAGAGACACTACATACTGATATAACCCTGAACATCAGCAGGAGAGGACTCTTTAAAGTAGAGACACTACATACTGATATACACCTGAACATCAGCAGGAGAGGACTCTTTAAAGTAGAGACACTACATACTGATATACACCTGAACATCAGCAGGAGAGGACTCTTTGGCTCAGAGAGAATCTTGAGGACTGAAAAAATCCCTAATATGCGTTGTTGGAATTTTCTGCAAATGTTCTTTTTGAGTTAATCAGTTGCATCGTACTGTTGGCTCATTCTCAAACCCCCAGCGTTGTTTCCATCGTGCTCCACTGACTTTGCCAGTTTAGAAAATAAAGAAAGGATTAAAATAAATGAGCGGGGATTGATCCTGATGCTCGATGAGGGGAAGACGGATGGCGCCGGGAAGCAAAAGGGACGAAGACAACGGTCCTGCAGAAGACAAATGGCCCCGCTTTGTGCTGCACAGAGGAGGTTTCATCAGGGCATCAAAACACAGAGGATAACCATCATCATATTCATCATCACTATCTTCATCTTCATCATCACTATCAGTGTTTTCATCGTGTCCTACATGATGCATCCAGATGGTGTTGGACGAGTCCCGGTGATAATGTTAGTGAGGCCAGGTGTGAATGAACAGAATACAACTCACTGGATTACAAGTTAACACAGAGTTTCATTGGAAGTCAAAGCAGCACTTTTTAACATTGAGGCAGGTGACAATCTCAATCTGTATGTATTTATAGAGCACATTTAAAGCAACCAGAGGACCAACGTGCTGCAGGGAACACATAATAACACAATCTCAATCTGTACGTATTTATAGAGCACATTTAAAGCAACCAGAGGACCAACGTGCTGCAGGGAACACATAATAACACAATCTCAATCTGTACGTATTTATAGAGCACATTTAAAGCAACCAGAGGACCAACGTGCTGGACAGGGAACACATAATAACACAATCCGAGTAAAATAATAAAACATTAATTAAAAACAAGATAAAAAGCACAATGACTAGAAACATATAAAACACATACAAATATCAAAACGTTATGCTCAACTAGTATTACAAGCCAGTGCAACATTTCATTTAATAATAATAATAATAATAATAATAATGCATGTTATCTTGTATTGCACACTTTTAAAGGTAGAGGTCTCAGATATATAAACAAATATCAAAAACATGTCGATGAAGTGTTTTGCTCCAAACACCAAACAGATCATTCTAGCCATGCCTCATATCCCTCTATTTCACTTCCTGTTTCTAAAGAGCTGATTTGGGGATAAAGCTTTAAAGAGGAGGGGTCTGAGCTCATGCGGGACCCGGCAGCTACTGTCTAAACTAAATGCTGCCGTGATGAAACGCCTTATCATGGATCATCAAGGATTCTCTCTGAAACAGTCTGGAGCTCAAAGGCTTTCTCTCTTGCCGGTTATACCACAAGGTGAGTTTCTTTTTACTTCCTGCTTCTTCACACACATGCTCTCCAGCACAGGTTAGCTCTGAGTGATAGCGATGCTAATGTAAACACCGACCATTACGTCCAAAACAGTCGGGCATTGTTTCTGATAGCAATGTTTCTGATTGGGCCGTGGGTCCACATTTCAGATATTACGTCATATCGGACGCAAATCTGGATCAGCTCCGTTGTTCCCCGTTTTTAGAGATTTGGGTACGGAGGAAAAGAGAGAGGGTTTTATTTCCTGACGCTGCGTGAGTTCCCCGACACACCGGGGACACATGTAGATGTATAAAATACATCAGAAAGTGCATTTTGCATGCTAGGTCCCCTTTAACACAACACCATCTCAAGGTGCTTCACAATTCAATGAGAGTTACAAATGATCTACGAAACATTTGTTAGAAAGCAGGACGTAGAACACGGAGCTTAATTTAAAAACAGAGAATACAAGGTTAAAAGAAAAAACCAGGACAGTCAGTAAACCTCGGTGCGGAAAAGGAGGGTCTTTAGGCTTTTCTTAAAGACTGAGAGTGCAGACGTGTTTTTAATTGTTCTTCTGTAATGGATTGGATCTTCAGCAAACTCCATTAGCGTTTATAAAAGTAAATTGAAGACGTATCTTTTTAATTTGGCTTTTAGTTTGGGGTCATTTTAGTCACTGTTAATGTTTTATTGTTTTGTGATATAACTATTTATTTTTCTTTATAACTTGTTTTTAATTATGCTCCTAACTCTTAGTTAGAAAAATACCAATACTTTATTTATGATAATAATAATAATAATAAATGATATTTATATAGCGCCTTTCAAGGGACCCAAGGTCGCTGTCCATGGTGGACAAACAGACAATCAACGGGCAAACCAAAGAAATAAATAAAGGAAGCCGGGGGACCAGAAAAGGGCTCGGGCCCGAAGGCCAGGGTGAACAGGTGTGTTTTTAGTGATGATTTGAAGATGTCCAGGGAGGCAGCATTACGGATCTCTGCAGGAAGTGCATTCCAGAGGGTGGGGGCCGCAACACTGAACGTCCTGTCACTAACAGTTCGGAGGCGAGAGCGGGGGATGGAGAGCAGGGCCCGTGTCTGAGGACCGCAGACTCCGAGAAGGGGTGTAGGGATGGAGGAGGTCCGATAAGTACTGGGGGGCGAGGGAATGGAGGGACTTGTACGTGAGGATGAGTGTTTTGTACTGAATCCGGGACTTGACCGGCAGCCAGTGTAGGTGGATGAGGGTGGGGGTGATATGGTGCCATGGCTTGGTGTGGGTGAGAAGCCTGGCGGCAGAGTTCTGGACGTATTGGAGCCTATCCAGGGTTTTGCTGGGAACCCCGGACAGGACTCCATTGCAATAGTCCAGACGGGATGTAATGAAGGCGTGTACCAGGGTTTTCTGCCACAGAGTCAGAGAGAGAAGGCCGGATTCTGGCAATGTTTTTTAGGTGGTAGAAGGCAGATTTGGTGACAGATTTGATGTGCGCCTGGAAAGACAGGGTGGTGTCCAGGATGACTCCCAGGATGATGATGATGGATGTTGCATTAATAATAGAATGAAATACAATAAAAATAAACATTAAAAACAAAATATCCAAATTCTCCGTAGAAAAGACATATAGTCAGAGGAGTACACTATAACAGAACCATGTAGAATACTCTCTAATATCTACTAAAGGGACAGACACATACCGTAGGTGCCGTTAAATATGTCCTGTTGTGTTGTGCAAGTAGGCTTTAATATGTAGGTACAGTATGTTATTTTAATAAGTAAGTTTTTATCATATATTCCTCTGCAGTGCATCCTCCTCATATATCTGTCCCCATGGCAACAACATCAGGCTGACGTCACAGCTCCATTGTCCTCATGCTGATGCTAACAGGCTAACAGGAGAGCTGCTGCTAACAGGCTAACAGGAGAGAAAACAAACACAAGAGTGAGTTATCATGATGTCTCTTTCCTCTCACTTTCACCCTGATTATAGTGGAGTTCAATCGGATTTAACAGCGTTGTTTCGCTCCAACGGCTAACTAACGGCTAATTAACGGCTAGCCCAGCTGTGTGATTAGCATGTGATGCTAACGTGTGTTTAGCGCAGCTTTTGCACCTTTCCCCGTCTCTTTGTATCAGTGTAAACTGCTTTTCTAACCTGTGATGATGTTCTCATGCTTATATGTGTGAAGTGGAGTTAATGATTTGCATAATAAAGCCGTATGTTTGACGGGAGAGGCTAATGTTAATGTTCGCAATAGTTAGCTCTTATGCTAAGTAGCTGGAGGGTGTGAGGAGGTGCAGCTGCAGTAAACCAGTCAGTGTGATGTTTTACGGTGTGAAGTGAGAGAGAATCTATGTGGTTAAGTATTGGCTGAAAGAACAAGAGTTTTACCGGCATTTTCTAGCCTGTTGGTCACGTTATTGTTGCAGCAGTGCCCTTTGTTTGCTAACTCTCTGCTAACAGCTGCAGTTTGCACATGAGGAGCGTTTATTTCAATTCAAGGCTTTATTGCCATTTGTACATTAGCTACAGTGTTGATATGTCAATGAAAAACTTCCGTCACAAGCTCCTCCAACAATACAGCATATACATATCGGACATGGCACAAATAAAACAGATAGAATAGTGCAAGTCAATACAGATCAAATATAAATGAATCTCATGTTAATATATGAGCTTGTTATTAAAGCTGGCTGGTTTAATTCATGCTTAATGAAGTCACAGAGGTCTGTGGTTAATGCCTGATGTAAAACAAACAACCAGCAGATTGATGATCCCTCAAATCTGAAACTAGGACTGATGCTTTTCTCGGTTTCTTAGATTCAAGAGTCACAGGTTTTATGATCTTATGAATAGCAGCTGCAGTGAACATCTGAAGTCCTAGGCTGTTTCAACAATGCGACACGAATAGAAGACCTACAACAATAAAGGACGTTACAACCAGGGGTGCACATAACCTTTAGTGAGTTACTCAGATGAGGACCAGGAGACAGCGTTTGGTCCTCCTCAGTGTCTCCTTCACTGTCCTCTATTCACACTTCTTGCATGCTAGATGATGAAGATGATGAAGATGCACCTCCCTGTCTCTTTTTAAGCCTCCAATTTGATTTCTCCAAAACTTGTTGCCAAAACTGTGAAGTCCTTGATTTCCTGAGGCCAAGTTGGAGGATCACATACTAAGAAATGATCCCATGGCTTGAAGTCATATCTGATTTCAGATGTGGGAAGTTACGAAGTACACTTCTTCAAGTACTTAAGTACAATTTTGAGATATTTGTACTTTACTTGACTTTGATGCTAGTGTGTACTTCTACTCCACTACAGTTCAGAGGTACATGGTGTACTTTTCCTCCACTACATGTATTAATACCTTTAGTTACTTCACAGATCTAGATGAATGATGTGAAATCTAACCAAGTGTTGAATCAGACTTTAGTTCCACCTGGAGTAAATCCACCAGCTACCCTGCAGTATACAAAGTTACTTCAAACTAGATTGCACCTTCACCAGCTTTGAGAACACTTTCATGATCAATCATATAAAACATATCATATAATTATTCTGAAATGACCAATTCTGCACAACGACTACTTTTACTGTCTTTCACTATATTTTGATGAGAATACTTTTCTACTTTCACTTGAGGAACATTTTGAATGCAGGACTTTACTGAAACAGAGTATTCCTACACTCTGGTACTTCTACTTTTACTAAGTACAAGATCTGAGTACTTCTTACTTTGACTCAAGAACAAGATCTGAGTACTTCTACTTTACTCAAGTACAAGATCTGAGTACTTATACTTTTTACTCAAGTACAAGATCTGAGTACTTCTACTTTTACTCAAGTACAAGATCTGAGTACTTCTACTTTTACTCAAGTACAAGATCTGAGTACTTCTACTTTTACTCAAGTACAAGATCTGAGTACTTCTACTTTTACTCAAGTACAAGATCTGAGTACTTCTACTTTTACTCAAGTACAAGATCTGAGTACTTCTACTTTTACTCAAGTACAAGATCTGAGTACTTCTACTTTTACTCAAGTACAAGATCTGAGTACTTCTACTTTTACTCAAGTACAAGATCTGAGTACTACTTCTACTTTTACTCAAGTACAAGATCTGAGTACTTCTACTTTTACTCAAGTACAAGATCTGAGTACTTCTACTTTTACTCAAGTACAAGATCTGAGTACTTCTACTTTTACTCAAGCAAGATCTGAGTACTTCTACTTTTACTCAAGTACAAGATCTGAGTACTTCTACTTTTACTCAAGTACAAGATCTGAGTTACTTCTACTTTTAATCAAGTACAAGATCTGAGTACTTCTACTTTTACTCCAGTACAAGATCGAGTACATCTCTACTTTTACTCAAGTACAAGGATCTGAGTACCTTCTACTTTTTACCTCAAGCTACAAGATATGAGTTACTGTACTTTTTACTCCAAGTAACAAGATCCTTGAGTACTTCTACTTATACTCCATAGCTAACAAGATCTGAGTACTTCTACTTTTTACTCAATGTACCAAGATCTGAGAGTACTTCTACTTTTTACTCCAGTACAAGATCTGAGGTTAATTCTACTTTTTCAACTCAAGTACAAGATCTGAGTCACTTCTACTTTTACTTCAAGTACAAGATCTGAAGTAACTTCTACTTTTACTCACGTACAAGATCTGAGTACTTTCTACTTTTACTCCAGTACAAGATTTTGAGTACTTTTACTTTACTCAAGTACAAGATCTGAGTACTTCTACTTTTACTCAAGTACAAGATTCTGAGTACTTCTACTTTTACTCAAGTACAAGATCTGAGTACTTCTACTTTTACTCAAGTACAAGATCTGAGTACTTCTACTTTTACTCAAGTACAAGATCTGAGTACTTCTACTTTTACTCCAGTACAAGATCTGAGTACTTCTACTTTTACTCCAGTACACGATCTGAGTACTTGTACTTTTACTCCAGTACACGATCTGAGTACTTCTACTTTTACTCAAGTACAAGATCTGAGTACTTCTACTTTTACTCCAGTACAAGATCTGATTACTTGTACTTTTACTCCAGTACAAGATCTGAGTACTTGTACTTTTACTCAAGTACAAGATCTGAGTACTTCTACTTTTACTCCAGTACAAGATCTGAGTACTTGTACTTTTACTCCAGTACACGATCTGAGTGGCAGACTCTTAGCTGGATGTCTCCAAGCTTCCCTACTGTGTGCTGAACTATATGGTGCCCTTGGTTGTTTACGTATTTAAAAGCAATATGAAACACAATCTTGCAGTCGATCTAAAGTGGGATATACCGTTGTCTACTTTACGAGCTTGGTGCTTGAACGTTTCTAAAACTTTGAAGTAGATTCGGACTTGTTCCTCCGCCACAATAACCTAGAATACCAAAATGAATATCACATAAGTTCCACGTCATCTAATTATGGACGTATCAGTGCTTGATACACATATATTCAAAGACAGGATTAATGTTCCTTTGACAGTCTGTTTTATACAATCAGTATCCATTCAATGCTTTGAGGACATCTCTCTCTTTTGTGTGTGGGAGCTTCAGGCAACGCTTTAATAACAGGTTGTTATCAGTGCAATAGCATGGATGGGTAGGTAGATGGATAGATGGATGGATAGATGGATGGATAGATGGATGGATAGATGGATGGATAGGTGGATGGATGGAGAGATGGATAGGTAGGTAGATAGATAGATGGATGGATGGATGGATACATAGAGAGAAGGATGGATGGATAGATGGATGGATAGATAGGTAGAGAGAGAGATGGAGAGATGGATAGGTAGGTAGATAGATGGATGGATGGATGGATGGATAGATAGATAGGTAGAGAGAGAGATGGAGAGATGGATAGGTAGGTAGGTAGATAGATGGATGGATGGATGGATACATAGAGAGAAGGATGGATGGATAGATGGATGGATAGGTAGGTAGGTAGATAGAGAGATGGATGGATGGATGGATAGAGAGATGGATGGATGGATAGAGAGAAGGATAGAGAGATGGATGGATAGATGGATGGATAGAGAGATGGATGGATGGATAGATAGAGAGAAGGATGGAGAGATGGATGGATAGATGGATGGATAGGTAGGTAGGTAGATAGAGAGATGGATGGATGGATGGATAGAGAGATGGATGGATAGGTAGGTAGGTAGGTAGGTAAACTGTATTTAATTTAGTCTTAATGTACATTATTTAATTTCATATTCTGTACTTGTATATATATAATATTCTATTTACATGTATTTAGACTTCTTGCACTATTTTTAATTGTTGTATTTTATTATATATGTTTCATTGTTGGAGGAGCTCAGGTCAGAAGAATTTCATTTCCATTTCTACTCTGTAGCTGCTGAGCATCTGATGATAACACCTTTGAATCCTGAATTGAATCTTTTGGATAAAGCAGGATATTATATAGACATTCCCAGCTAACTTTAACTCTGTGTTTGCAGTGGACCGAGGTGTGAAGCGGCGGCAGGTGAAGCCCCTCGCCGCCTCCCTATTGGACGCCTTGGATTATGACAGCTCCGACGACAGTGACTTTGAAGTGGGCGACGCCACAGGTAAACAGGAAGAGATCAGCGGCATTATGGGATTTCACATACTTGTTTGGGACACATCTTAAAAGATAACATCACGATCATTTTAATATATATTTTTAAACGTTTCAAAAACAATCATTCCCTCTTATATTGAGAATCTGATTTAAACTCCTATAACAGTTAAAATAATCTAATAAATCCTTTTTTTTGCAGCCCTATCATCACATCAACATCTAATACATGTTTAGTTTAAACAATTTGAACCATTTCTTTGCAAAATGAGAAAAATGTGGAACATTTCAAATCTATCTAAACTTTTTTCTGAAAAATGATCAACTCGTTAACTCAAGCCAGCCGTGCCCTATCTAGTTATGTGCGCATTCACATGAAAGGGGCGGGGTTAGCAACATTTGACCAATCACAAACATGGAGAAGCGTACTGACAGCGCAGCGTCACACTTCCTGAATGAAAAGTATAATATTAGACAAATATGAAGACGTTAAACTTTAAACATCCATGACTTAAACACTTGATCCAGGATCAAAGACACAGAGCTGCAAGGTGAATACAAGGTGATCTCATTTGTTCTCTGGTTTGATTTTGTTGTTGTTATTTGTTATTCTCTTCTAGGATCTGACGGCACAGGAAACGGCAGCGATGAAGACGAGGGATCCAAAGCGAGCGCCGCCGGATCAGAAAGCGACTCAGAAAACGCCGGCTCTGCAGACGAAGCTATCGACGAGAACGAAGCCAAAGACTTGGCAGCGGACGAAAATCTAACGGAAGACGAAGAGAAATCAAAACAACCGCCTTCTTCCTCCGATGGATCCACGAAAGAAACCCCTATTGTTCCAGCGACTAAAAGCAGACGGAAGAGCAAGAAAACGTCCGATCCAGAGCCGGAAAAAGACCTGGAAAAAGAGCCGGAGTCCGAATCAACGTCTGGAAACACGGAGGAAAATCAAACCGAGACGAAGAAGTGGAATTTCAGGAGGAACCGACCTCTTCTGGACTTCACCACCATGGAGGATCTGAACGAAATGGACGACTACGACAGCGAGGACGATAACGACTGGAGACCGAGCGTTGGGAAGAAGAAGGGAAAGACTGGGGGTCAGAAAGGAGGAGGAGATGAGGAAGAGGAGGGAGGCAGCGCTAGTGACGACGATGATGATGACGATAATGATGATGATGATGACGACGACGACGATGATGATGATGACGATGATGACAAGGAGGATGGGCAGGAGAACAGTAACAACAACAAAGATACTAGCAGTGACAGTGACAAAGACTTGAAGAAACCCAAGAAGAAGACGAAGAGCAGCAATGCCTTCGATGAAGAGCTGACCAATGACAGCATGTCTCAGGGGAAGAGAAACGAGGTGAGTTAAAGGAGCGTGTGGTTCTGCTGTCTCGTCTTTGGAGAAATGGTCCTCAAAAGACGAGACAGTCTAGTTTTGTGGATCCATAGACACATTTTGAAACTCAATAATGATCCATCATGTTCCGTCTATATGAAATAACTAGGGAGGCTCCGATCGCTAATTTTGGGGCCGATCGCCGGAATCAGTATCGCCGATCCGACCGAGTGGGCGGGGCCTATGGGGATCTTCCATTTAAAGTTTAAAACTCAGTTAATGCTCATTCTCTGGAGCTTCCACAAACAACAACCAACATAATTCTCTCTCTCTCTCCTGACAGCCCGTCAGTATCGTCTCATGCAGCTCACTGATCCAGTAATGAGTGACCCGACAGTGAAGAATAAATATATGTATAACTAGTTTAGCTTGTTCCAGAGGTAGGAGGAGTTCTGCTTGACACACGTTGCATACCGCTTTTTAATTGTCATTTTCGGACACCTTAAAATACTGCCAGACCGATGAAGCCATTTTGGCGAGCTTGTTTTGCCGTGCACAGAGAAAAGTGTCATGTATTTTGCGTCATGTGATCGGCTCTCAGCCTTTATAGAGAGCACCGATCGATCGGCCGAGAATGAATATCGGCTGATAACAATCAGCGGCCGATCGATCGGAGCATCCCTAGAAATAACCATGTGGAATAGCTACGTGTTACGCATTTTTAGAAATCTAGTGCAAAATGAGCATCAGTTTTAAGTGAAATTATTGAGAAAAAACGATATATAAATGCAACAGACAGTTACAAATCATACAGAGGTATCGGAGAGAGAGCAGGCATACATTAGATTTCTAGCTAATGTCACCATATAAGGGCAGCAGCAATTAGACAACTAATCATTTTCTACTATTGTGATGATATTTCACTTCTTGCATTGCCGCCGTAGACAGAAACATTTTGGTAAAAGCTGTTTGCAATGGAAGCTCACAGTAACGTTAGCTCACAGTAACGTTAGCTCACAGTAACGTTAGCTCACAGTAACGTTAGCTCACAGTAACGTTAGCTCACAGTAACGTTAGCTCACAGTAACGTTAGCTAACAGTAACGTTAGCTCACAGTAACGTTAGCTTACAGTAACGTCAGCTCACAGTAACGTTAGCTCACAGTAACGTTAGCTCACAGTAGGGCTGCTCGATTATGGCAAAAATCATAATCTCGATTATTTGGGTCAATAATTGATATCACGATGATTAAAAAACGATTGTCCATTTACTTTGAAAACATCCATTTAAGAAGAAAAATGTGAACAGTATGTTTTTAACAGTTGATTACCCTGAACTTTAAGTATAACTCAACTGAAGAACCAATACAAATAAAAATAAATAATCGTTTTATTTCGATTGTTGTTTTCATAATCGTTTCAAGCCAAAATCGTAATTGCGAATAAAATACGATTAATTGAGCAGCCCTAACTCACAGTAGTGTTAGCTTTTAGTAACGTTAGCTTTCAGTACCGTTAGCGTTCAGTACCGTTAGCTTTCATGTTAGCTTTCAGTAACGTTAGCTTTCAGTACCGTTAGCTTTCAGTACCGTTAGTTTTCAGTACCGTTAGCTTTCAGTAACGTTAGCTTTCAGTACCGTTAGCTTTCAGTAACGTTAGCTTTCAGTAACGTTAGTTTTCAGTAACGTTAGCTTTCAGTAACGTTAGTTTTCAGTAACGTTAGTTTTCAGTACCGTTAGCTTTCAGTACCGTTAGTTTTCAGTACCGTTAGCTTTCAGTACCGTTAGCTTTCAGTACCATTAGCTTTCAGTCGTGTCAGCTTTCAGTACCGTTAGCTTTCAGTACCGTTAGCTTTCAGTACCGTTAGCTTTCAGTACCGTTAGCTTTCAGTCGTGTCAGCTTCTTAAATGTGGGTAAAACGGGTTTGGAAAAATCTGTAAAATTCACAATTAGTCCACAAACTTTTTTCCAGTTCAGTTGAAAAGTGTTAATTGTAGTAACAGCAGCTTACTCGGACTGTCTTGTTTACCTTTTCTCTGAAATGATACCGCGTGATAGTCACAGTTGTGTTATTATACTTTAGTTTAATTCGGACAGACTTCTTGTTCCCCCTTCTTTGTTCTCAGTGAGAGAAACTAAACTAAATCTTTCCTCCCCACATTATAGTCCTTTTATAAACCGCTGCTCATGAATGAGGTATTTGGCTTCTTTGCGCTCCAAACAACAGTCACATATAATCCAACGAGAGGTTTGGATGCTATCGCAGTGACTCCAGGAGAATTGGATTTAGCGCAGTGACTCCATGAGCATTGTATGTGGGATTTACCAACGTTGATAAGTGGCTTTACTGTCTCTCTGTCTCTGATTTCCCAGGATGCTTTGCTGGACCGCACTCAGACCTGGACGGCTCAGCACATCCTGATCTGCTGCGTCTGTCTGGGAGACAACAGCGAGGACGCAGACGAGATCATTCAGTGTGACAACTGCGGGGTGACCGTGCACGAGGGTGAGTTGTTGGGAAGTTAGTCAAAGAAAGTAATGCATTACACATTACTAGTTACTTTAAGGACAATTGTAAGGCCTTCCTTTACTTAATTGCTCACTGCTTGAAGTAATGAGTTACACTACTAGTTAAATGACTTTTGGACTACATCACCCGAGATGCGAAATAAATGAAATGACAAATAGTTTAACCTCATGTTTGGCCGGATCAGCATAAATCCTCTGCTTCTGCTCTTTCTGCTATCTAGGTAGGTACAAAAAAGGAAATGTATAAGGATAATACAAAATAAGTACTTTTTAAGAAATAATTTAGCATTCAAAAAGGATGCTAAAGACAAGCATGTACACCACATTTAACAGACCTCTGTTTTCTGCTCTTCATTTATCAGTTGTGTTTTCTGTAGCTCAGTTTCCATCATAGCACTGCTCCAGGTAGCTACGTGCCCGTTACCTGTATCATCAGAATCAGAGTCTGCCAGGTACGTTTACACATACATGGAATTTACTTTGGTATCCGGTGGTGTGATCATAAACAATCTAAAAAAATAAATGGCAAAGTAGGTACAAAAAAAGAAATATATAAGGATAATGGTGCCAACGACAGTAATGCATTACTAGTTACCCACTGCTGGAAGTAATGAGTTACACTACTAGTTCTATTACTTTTGGACTCTAGCATCAGCTCCCATAAATCAAAGGACAAAATAAAGTCTAATCAGGACAACGCCTCTTTGTTTGAACATCAGTTGTGTTTTCTTTAGCTCAGTTCCCATCATGACACTGGCCCAGGTAAGACACAGGTAGTCAAGGTACCTGTGTCTTACTCAATGTCTTATAAAGATGGTCGATTCCTCCGTCAAACGGGCGACTTTTCCTCCACCATGTTCGCTGCGTGAAGCCTGTTTATTCAAGATTCAAAAGATTCAAAGGTTTTATCGTCAGATGCTCAGCAGCTACAGAGTAGAAATGGCAATGAGATGCTTCTGACCTGAGCTCCTCCAACGATGCAACATATATAATACAATACAAAATAGTGCAAGAAGTCTATTTACATGTGTAGAGAATATGATATGTACAAGAACAGAATATCAAATTAAATAATGTACATTAAGACAAAATCAAATACGGTTTATTGCGATGATAACTATTCATATAAGTAGATACTTTCTCATCCGTCTCCTCATCCATGAACTCCTGAGTGTAGCACGAGTGAAAAGGGAGAAAGCAGTGGGAAGAGACCATCCCCCACACCAAATGTCATCCCTCTACCAATTCCCAGTAGGCAGTTATGAGGATCCTAACCCTTTTTGCTTTAATGGGAGTCAATGGCAGCTCAAAGGAAGATGCTAGAGGCATGAAACTTAGTACAAATCAGAGGAGGGAGGACACACCGCACATTTCATGACTCTAGCACGCGGTAACTAGATAATATCCTGCTTATAACTGTAATGACTGTGTCACAGACAAATGTAATCTGATTACATTTCACGGGGTGTAATGACTCAAAGTGTGTGGATTTATATACTCTATAAAATCAGTGCAGGTATTTGTCTTTGACTTCAAAAAACGAGTGCGTAGGAAACGGATCAATAACCCTGTGAGACTGGGACCGTGCAAATTGGATCAATGTGACGCCACTAATTCTCAATCACTTCATATATTAATTAAATCACCCTTGTTGCACCTCATTTAAAAGCTCCTGACAAAGCTCCTGCTCTTATTTTGGACGTCAAATCTGTATATAGTATAATAATGAAGCTCTTATAGATGTTAAGCTGTAAGTGTCTAGGCCATTCAACACATGAGTTGGTGGTTTATGTATTGGTTCTTGATAAGAATATGAATTAGACATAATGAAAGGACACCTCGAAATAATCACAATGGCAGGTTCTTCATAATAAACTAAATTGAGAATTGACCCTCTTTATTACACATCCCTCAGTACATACATATTTTGTATTTGGTGTTCTGTAATATGGACACTATGAAACTGATCCAAATGGAAAACAAACCATAAGGATTCATTTCACGAGGATTCAGACTAAGAAAAACTGACTAAGCGCCCGACAGTAACCTTTTTAGAAAATGTTGTAATATTACTGTAGTATTTGTTAGGGAATCATTTGCTTCGGTATTCAACCTTCGACACAGTTCATGAGGCGCTTTCACACCGCAGTACTTTTCCCACAAAGGTTCATGAGAACTTAGTTCATGAGAACTCTCTAGTATGAACTAAGTACAGATCGCGTTCACACCGCAATAAGTCCCTGGGGGAGGATTAGGCAAATGAAGCCGCTGACGTCACTTCTTCTTCTTCTGCTTTGGGTTTACTGGCAGGCCGCAAACAACTTCACGGTGTATACTGCCACCCGGAGTCCCCGGCCGGAAGTCCCCGGAGTTGGGGACTGGCTTCAGTAGAAGCTGCTGGGACTCCCAGCAGCTTCTACTGAAGCCTTCCGAGTAAATCGCCAGAAACGCCGACACCCTCCTCATCTCCACCGCTCCCATGTTTTCTTTTGTGTTGCCATAAATTAGTCTCTCTGCGTTTCTGCGCTGGGCTAATTCTAATAATGCTAATGCGAGGAAAATAAAATGTCGGCTTCACAAAACGTTTTGGGAGTTTTACGGGACGTGGTTTGCAATCCGCCCAGCCAATCAGACATAGGAACCTTTTCTCCCACGAAAGCGCCTGCTCTCTAGCAGGGACGGAAAAGGGGGTGAAAGGTTCTCGTGAACTAATTTCTGTTCCGGTTTTATTTGGTGTGAACGCGACATTTCGGAACTACATCGGAACTAAAGTGGGAAAAGTACTGCGGTGTGACGCGCCTATAGTTTTCTCCTTTCCCACGGCACAGGTCTACGGCCTTGGATATTGCTGCTATCTCTCTTTAGGAGGAGCAGCTTGGGCGCATTGTTGTTGCCAGTCTATGACCGAGCACAAACCGCCATGAGGTAGTTTACTGTACAGGCACGTAGGTTGCCTGGCGCACATTCTTTCCTATGGACGAGAGCTCTAGTTAGATTCAGGGTCCATAATGCTTTAGTCTCGCTGATAAAGAATGTTGATTATTACACTCTGAACTAGTTAAAACCTCGAGCTGCAGAAAGAGTTCTTCAGAATTGGTTTGCCATCAAAGCTCCAGCTCTCCTCGTGCCTCTCTGAGTCCTGTTTCCAATTGCTTCAGAAGTTTCCCCCACAGTATTAGCGACTGAATACTGACAGCTAACAGACCTTTCTTGTGTTAATTAAATAACTAGCACATGTTCACACATGATATAACGTAAAAAAAACTTGCATTGACACTCTAACATCTCTGTGATTGGCTGTTTAGCCCGGAAGCAGTGAACACCTTTGAGAAGGATTGTTAGAATGTCTCACACACACACACACACACACACACACACACACACACACACACACACACACACACACACACACACACACACATATATATATATATATATATATACCTCTGTCATGTACACGTACACACACACACACACACACGTCATGTTTACACACACCTCTGACATGTTCACATGTAACCGGTCTCAACTAGCGGTGTCTGCGTTGTGTTGAGACCCGAGCATACCGTGGAGCCGATCTCCGTTTATTCACTGACAACAGATAACACATCAGTCGTTAACATATATTTAGTTTTCCCTCACACTTCCACTCCTCTCCCGTGGAACACATTGATGAAGAGGGAAGAGGAAAACTTGAGGGACACTATATGAAGAGGGGGAAGTCCCCATAAAAAACAATTGTCTGAATTGAACTGCATTTGAGGTTGTGCCCACTGATTTCAGACCTATTCAGGTTTTTAACGTTTAGTGAATAAAGATCACAGAATTATTAAATGCAGAATACAGAATTTGTGTGATTATAATAAGTGAATTACAAAGAAATATTTGACACTGAATACTACTGCATATTTACAATTGTTAACCTTTAAAGTCAACCTGTGAGCTGGATTTTATTTAGCATGTACGCAGAGTCGCACCTGTAAAATTAATGCTCCATAGCGTCTGAAGATACACACACACACACACACACACACACACACACACACACACACAGACTGTAGGGTGGACACCATCCTAATCACCAACTCTCCACGGACAGACACCAGATATTAGGAGCCGGTTTTAAATTATCTCGTTAGTTCGTTTGGTTGGTATTTTCTTCCTGGAGGACGTGTCTAATCTCTGGCTGAAGTGAGACTCCTATCTGCCTCTCAAAGGACAGGAAGGCTTTGGGTCAGTTAAATATGGAACCTTATTATAGTAATGAGCTTGAGTTCCTGTGTACTTTTTTGCCACAATCTCTTGTTTATTTAGGGTTAATTATCAGTTGTAGTTTAATTTACAGTTATTAGGAGCAGATTTGAAATTATCCCGTTTGTTTGGTTGATATCTTTTTCCTTTAGGACGTGTCTAATCTCTGGAAAGACGGAAGTTAGACTCAGTTGTGTGCAGGAGAGAGGAGGTCCTTTCTACCTCTCCAACCATATTCTAGTAATAAACTTCCTGTGTACTTGTGGTCTAAATTGATATATCTATTGGAGGTTTTATTCCATACCTCATCATTTTTTTGTCACAATCTTGTTTATTTAGGGTTTATTATCAGTTGTAGTTTAATTTACAGTACAGATCTTAATCTGCTCCTCACACTCCTTACATTACGATACATCACAACTTTAAAATATACAATTAACTGGAAATAAAGAGACCTTAGTTAGCGCTCCTCCACCTGTCTTCCCTGTCTTATCTGCATACAGAAAGTCCAACATATACATATGCCTTTGCTTGTCCAATTGGTGTGGCTCAGACATGACAAAATGTCTGCATTATGCATTTATGCGTTCACCATGGAAATGAAGTCACAAAGTCTCCATTCCCCCCTGCATGTTTGAGTGCCATTCAGCGACAAAACAGACCAGTTATTATTCAGAAATGATGATAACATGTATCATTACTTATTATTTAAATATACATATGAAT